TTTGGTAAATTATGTAGAAAGCAGTGAAGAGAGAAGGTATTACAAAAAATAGATTCATTATAAGTGTAAGTAAAATCTGTAACATAGATGTAGAAATGCATTTGCACTCTGATAAAAGGAGATAAGCTTAAAGGACACAAAGGAGTGATTGAAAATTACTCTACCTTCGTCTTCCATCGCAAAGACACTTCTATCTCTGAAAGGTAAAGATACAATCCGAGTGGAAAAAGTGAAGTAAGTATATTACATTTTGATACATCTTAGCATACTTTAAGACAGACTAGTATTTAGTAAATTCAAGTATGCTTAAGAGTTTGTATTTGGAAAATTGGCTTCTTTAAAACAACTTATTTTGATGGCAGGTTTATTTCTACAGTTTAAAAAAAACACTGAAATTACCTCACCAAATTTGAGTTATTTGTCTACCAAGTAATGAAAAACCGTAGATGAACTGTATGATCTGTATGAAAAGTATTCTAATGAGACCTTCATTTGATGCAGGTGCGCTAGAGAAGGATTGCATCAAAAAGTTGCAGGATGGAAGATCTCCAGGACTGGACTTGATCACTCCAGAACAGAGCCATAGCAACAGCACTATCACAATAGCGAGAGGGTTAATGGAAACCTGGCAATTTCGAAAAAACACCACGTTTTTTTGATAAAAAGTGTTATCTTAGGATAAGGTGATATTTTTGGTCATATCAATATGGACATATTTTGCACAACTGCAATGGAAACATATTTTTCGCATCAGATGAGCGATGTGATTAACAGCCGGATGTTACTACTGGTGAAAACCAGTAGTACAACAAAGAAGAAGATGACAGGAAGTAGTAGGAGTAGACCTGTCATGATAACAAATTTTGCTGAGCAATTAATTGTCTAAAATATTATTGCACTAATATTGTTTCAAGACCTTTTAACACTGATTTAATGGAAATGACTAATAATGCATGCGATTTCCTGCCATAGATACTCTTTATTTTCAAAAGAACACATAACACTGGAACTGATAAACTAAAACAAAACAACCAAAAACAAAAATAAAATGGATTCTCAGTCTCCATTAACAAAAAATGTGCTTTAATAAAAACTAAACAACATAAAGCCAAAGTGGAAATAAATATTGCATTCAACTAAAAGAGAGCAGATTATTAAGTCTGTATACTGTATTGGCCTTCAGTAATCACTAGATTTAAATAGAGAAGATGGGCACATCTGACTACCTAATACAGTAGTTCATACTACACGATTTGTTGCCCCTATTTTCCCCTTACGACAATCTTAGATCTAAGATCGGCCGATCTAAGATTGTCGCTGCTGATTTCATAACCGATCATCCTGCAGTGTGTTATGGCCGCTCCGATCTAAATCAGGGGTTTTCCCCAGACTGGGAGCTTAACGCAGCCTGTTGAATGTGACAGGTAGCCAATCAGAGTGCAATACTCTGCTTTCTGAGGGGAAATTACGGAGGGGAATCCCAAGCAGCTGACATTGGAGATGATATGTGGAAACAACATTAATATTTATTCAACGTTTCGTGCAAAGAATATAGAAATGACAAGGAGAGGAGTTGGAGCCAAATTGCTACCGCAGTTGATGAACCCGGTAGGTTTTCAGCTGTTCTTCGTTAACGTGACATAAATAGGTTATAATGATTTTCATTCAGTCAGGACTTTACACTGACTCTAGCCACATGCATCACAGGTAGATTCTAGTAAAGCATTGATTAATGCCCGATTTTAAAATTAGTTAGCTGGACTTGTAGCCATTATTTTGTGCCCATTGTTGGACACGGCACAATCGAACCCGATTGAACCGTTATTCCTAGGATTTCTGTCGGCTAATGTGTCTCTCAGGTTTTGAAAATGGGCCGACA